GCTCTGTGGGAGCCGGAGCTGCGGCTGGTCCTGTCAGTGTACGCCGACGATGTGCTTCTTGTGGTCCAGGACCCGGGCTGCCATTCTTCTACCAGGACCTCCTCCGGACCTGGAAACTGCTTTCGATGACCAGGTCTGTGGCAGCCACCAAGGGGGCAGATCTCATGGAGCCCCTGCTACACAACCCCCAGCTCCGCGTGCAGGTGGCGGAGTCCCCCTTGGTGCACCAGAGGTTCGTCCTGGCAGAAGTCACAAGAGTTGGAGACACCCTGGACTACAACTGGGGAGATTGGCTGGATCCCCTGACACTCGCTCAGCGCATGGGGCTCTCCAGACCTCGTACTCCCTGGCGCGCACTTCAGGAGGTGAGGGCCGCTTTGCCGCCTGCTGTTCTGGTTTACCTCGACAGGCTCCTGCATGAGAGTGTGCCCCATCCGCCCTCCACCCCAGGCCCACCTGACCTTTTCATCGGGCCCCTGCCCTGTGGATCCAACTAACCCCCCTGCCCCTTCACCGTGAGCCAGCTGCATGAGCTGCAGCTAGTCTGCTTCCAGACCACGCCAAGGAAACATCTATACACGCTCGTGCTCCACACCCTTCACGTCCTCACCATCGCATCCCGCCCCGATACAAAATGGCGGGACCTCTTGCCACCTCTGGAGGGTGAGGAGCCCCGGTGGGCCAGCCTATATTCCACCTTGGTCCTGAGTCCCGCCGGGGATATCAGTTGGCTGCTCCTTCATGGAGCCGTGAGCACAGGCGTGTACTTGGTGCGGTTCACCCCTATCCCAGGCACCTTCCCCTTTCGCAGCGTGAGGGAAACTCTGGTGCACACATACTTGGAGTGTGCCAGGCTGCAGCCCATATTCTGGCTCCTCACAAATATTTTGTTGTGCTTTTGGTTACACTTTCCCCCTCACCTTTTTATTTATGCACTCCCTATCCGCAGCCCCACAAAGTCACGGGACCTCCTGGTCAACCTCCTCCTGGCCCTGGCTAAAATGGCCATCTATAAAACCAGGGTGAGGAGGATGGCCGATGGAGTCTCTTGTGACTGTGGGGCCTATTTCCGATCCTCCATCCATTCACGTATCTGGGCAGAGTTCCTCTGGGCGGCATCCACTGACTGCCTTGACGCCTTTTGAGGAACAGTGGATGCTGTCCGGGGTTCTCTGCTCAGTGTCCCCATCTGGTTCCGTTCGTTTGACCCTTTGACCACACCCCTGTCCCTGTTATTTCATTAGTTGTCCCCCGTAATCATTTGGTGTCCAGGACCTGTGGATCCCCCTCTTAGGCTGGGGGGAAGGGGAGATCCTTTAGCACTTCCCGGATCCCAGTAGGGCTACTCTGCTGTTCCCAACTGGCCTGGGTCTATCACACATCCCAGCCAGGGCTTTGTCAAGCTTGCCCTTAAAAAACTCAAAGGAAGGAGGTTCCACCACCTCCCTAAGTAACGCATTCCAGAGTTTCACCACCCTCCTAGTGAAAAAGGTTTTCCGAATATCCAACCTGAACCTCCCCCACTGCAACTTGAGACCATTATTCCTTGTTCTGTCATCTGCTACCACTGAGAACAGTCTAGATCCATCCTCTTTGGAACCCCCTTTCAGGTAGTTGAAAGCAGCTATCAAAGCTCCCCGCACCCACCCATTCTTTTCTTCTGCGGACTAAACAATCCCAGTTCCCTCAGACTCTCCTCGTAAGTCATGTGCCTAATCCTCTAATTTGTCTAGGTCCCTCTGTATCCTATCCCTATCCTCCAGCGTATCTACCGCTGCTGGAAAAGCAGCAGCTTTACAAGGGAGCATTGGACAAGTTCCTCTTCTCCACTTCCATTATACAAATATTGTACCTTTTGTGATGGAATTCTAGTGTGACATGCAATGTATTTCCAGTTCAGATTGGAAATACCCATGTCTTTTAAGAAGGAAGTCAGGTGACCATTAGGTGCAGGCAGAAGTGGCATCATATAATGATGTGCACTGCAATGTTATTAATTGTAGATTATGGATTTAGCATGTCAAAATCAGACCCTAAATAGGCACCCCTTTGCCGAAGTACAGCTCTGAGGAGGTGATATGATACCATCCACAGGTATTCACTGGCTGTAAACACCAAGGTCAAGATCATGCCGTTTCAGCATAGATCTTCATTAGGGACACATATGTACTCCCCAGCATAGCTGATAACAGGAAGGGACAGAGCCATGGTTCTACTTAATTCTCCCTGCTCCATCTGGGGTGCCAAGTGCCTCTGTGGAAGTAATTTTGGAGGAGTCTCAGAGCTGTGGAACTGAAATTCTGCCCAGAATTTATGTCATGCAAGTGTCAGGACAGGGGGAGCCTTAGTTCCTCCTCTCCTACTGCCCACCTGGGCCAGAGCTACTCAGAATCCAGCCCCAAGGAAGGAGAACAAGAACAGGTTGTAGAGATTAAAAATGTAAGTGAGATACTTAAAGGTAATGTGGTGAAATTAAGAGAAATATCATCTTAGCCTAAATAGCATGCAAAACTTCTAAGAGAAGGTGTGGAATTCATCCCTAACTTTCTGTGCAGCCTGTGGGTGGAATTTTAACAAGTGGAAGTGCTAGGAGGGAGGGGGAGGAACAGGGAAGCGCCACGTCTCCGCTCCTCCCCTTTCCTCCCAGAAAGCCCTAAGTGCTGCCAAACAGCTGTTTGGTGGCAGGGAAGCGCTGGGAGGAAGGGGGAGTGGAAGTGGGGACGCGGTGTGCTCCGGTGTGGAGTGGGGGTGGGAAGAGGCAGGCCTGAGCATCCCCTGGCAAAGTCGGCGCCTGTTCTTCTGAGGGGAAGCTGCTGCTGTGCAAGGTGCTTCCTAGCGTCCTTGCTTGCCTCATTATCTGCAGCGGGCTGTGCCTGTGTGGGGTAAGCCAGGGGCACCTCCCAACCACAGTACAGTACTGTACAGTATATAATGCCTTTTGTCTGCCCCCCAAAAAATTTCCTTGGAACCTAACCTCCCGCATTTACATTAAATCTTATGGGAAAATTGGATTAGTTTAACATCATTTCACTTAAAGTTGCATTTTTTCAGGAACGTAACTCCAATGTTAAGTGAGGAGTTACTGTACTTAAAAAGCTACAAAGATATGTTAATCAAAAGTGTTATATAGCTGACCAAACAAAATCAACTGTTGGGCAAAAAGCAGGTGTTACAAAAACATGTTACTAACAAAACACAAAAAAAACCAAAAATGGTTAAGCAAGCAGTTTGGAGCCATTAGGCTGGCAGCTATATTTTTCCATAATGACAGTTTTAAAATATATTCAGACTTACTGTTTTTTACAGACACTTATCCCAGTGTATTAGGGAGGACATAGAGTCAGGCTAACTTCTGGGGATTGTCTTATCCTCTCCCTCCCAGCAACACCTTAGTAGTGCTAAGTTCCTGCAAAGGCCTACTAAATGCAATGAGGAGAATAATTGATAGTCCATTTTAATAACTGGCAGTGGCTTGGGCACCCGGCTGCTTGCTGAAAATGTTCCTCATCAGAGCCAGCACTGTGCCCTGTGTACACTGTGAATTCTGAGTATGGAAGATAGGCCTTGAAGGCCTCCACACTTGCTAGACACTCCAGTTCTGTAGCCAAATCTTTGATTTCCCTCTCATTTAATCTGCGACCTCCAAAAGCCACCACTCTGCACCTACTAAGCTCATCCATTTGTTTAAGTGCAAATCCTTCAGCAAACTTTGAGGCATCACAAGGTTACCAGGAATGGATGGGATGGATCTGCGAAGTTAAGCACAGCATGGTTTAGAAGTCCTTCTTTCAGTGACGCCGATGGTTTTTGGTGTTGCTCTGTCCAGACAAAGTTCTTCTTAATTAGCTGGTATAATGGCGCTGCTGCCCATGCTGCAAAATTTTGTACACATCTTTGTGGAACCCACAGAGAACTACAAACTATTGAACCACCTCTTCCTGGTGCTCCTCACACTGACTAGATGTCCTGGGAAGGAGATGTGACTCCTTGTAAACTGATATTTGTTTCCCAAAAATTTAAACCCCGACTCCTTAAAAAGCTTTAGGATCCTTTCCATTCCTACCAGATGTTCCTTCCCAGTTTTTGGGAAACAAATGAAGTCATCTAGGTATGTTAGTATGTCTTCAATTATCAAAACTTGGTTTAGACCATTTGCTACCCTCTGAAATGTCCTTGATGCATTCATGAGTCTGAAAGGCGTTCTGCAGAACTGAAATATTCCCTAGGGTATCACAAAGGCAGTTTTTTCTCTATGCTTAGGTGCCCCTTTAATCTGATGGCAAAGGTTGAAATTTACCTCTGTGCAGGGCCAACACAAAGCTGATGCACTGGTGTGAAGGCCTGATGCTCTCCTCTGCACAAGTGAATTTCATTCTAAGAGCAGATCTGTTGAGAGAGATTATAAAAACAGCCCCAAGTTGCTATTTTGGACAATCACCACACTTTAAAATATGATCACCAAAGGCTGGCATTATTTCTATTGTTTACTTTTTCACTTTCACTGGACTTGGACAGTGACACTAGACTGCTCAGTTTCTAGTCAGTTTCACTATCTAGTGGTCTTGCCCTAGCATTTTGCTCTTGTTTGGGGCTGCAGGGGGATATTTAAATGCAAAATAAAAGCAGTATTAATTGAATTAAAGAAGAAAAGAAAGGCAATTGCTATTAAATCCCAGGCCCTAAACTCCCTGAAAGTGTCCTGGGAAAGATTAATAACTATTTAAAGGAGGTGATTTTTTTCCTGAAGTGGATGGTTGCTATTGAAAGCTAAAGAGTAGCAACATTTCAGTTAACTTCTGAGGCAAGTAAAGCAGAGTTGATTAGTAAAAATATTGCAGAAAGGGCCTGAGATCTTCACTCACTATCATCAAACTGAGTTATTCTCAGCATCTATACCAATTGTTCAATGGTTTTCAGTTTAGATGAAACTAGATGCATGCTGGGGGTGCTGACCCTCCTCTTTGTGTCCTGCAGAGATCACCAGTTTTCCTTCTCCCTAGGTATGACCTCTGTGTTACAGCTCTGAATGGAGCTCTCTACACCATAGGAGGTGGAGCCTTTCGCTTTGATATGGACACAGATGAATGGACCCAAGTGGATGAAGAGTGCCTGACTCAGAAATTCTTCATGGGATGCAGCACTGCCAATGGCCAAATTTATCTCCTGGGACAGAGGAAGGGGAACGTGGCTGTCCCCAACATGGTGCTCTTTGACCCTTATACTGACACATGTCAGGTGGTAGATAGCAAAGTCCCTTGCCCAGTTCCTATTTATGGGTGTGTCTCTATACGAAGATTTGACACATGGGCTTAAGCAAGGCTGGCCAGGTCACAATACAGAGAGGGATTCCAGTGTGTTAACGCTTACAAGCGCTGATATTTATTGTCTGTAGAACTTGTAGAATCTTGAAAACATCATTTATTCCTCTCCTGATTTTGTCTTTTCCAGTTTGGCAAATGCTGGTGTCCTTTGTCCTCAAGGAACCAATATGGAAATGGAAGATTTGCTCCTTTCTTTATCAAGACATCTCCGCTGGTGTCAGCATGATTCCATGAAAACATTTGCTAGCAAACTCACTAACTTGGCCTCTGCAACAGCAGAAGAAATTATAGCATTGCAGGGTCAGTCAGAAACATGGCTGTTGGGCTTTTGTTTGTGTTGTTTTGATTTTTCCAAATGACAGGACTGCAGCTTCTCAAATGCTAAAGAGCACTCCAGGCAGCAGCAGGTGAAAGGCATCTGTCCAAAGAAATCCAAATTTCAGTAGTTGAAAATTTATTTTTATTTTCAGCTCATAGGGACGACAGTACCTAAAATGCAAATAGAGCCATAGGGAGACTATAAAGACCTGAGCTACTTCATGCTTCATTCCTCTGGGTTCTTAAGGAGCTTGGCAGGGCCCTGATTTTATTTGGAAGGAAAAGAGCAAGCATATGGTAGGATTTAAACTGATTCTTTATTTAAGCCAATGCCTTCATCACCTCTGTGCTGACTCAGTTCCATGTGTAAAGTGTCACTCAGGTGTTAAGTAGCACCTAGGGAACCCTGTTCAGAGCTGCTGTTGATGGCTATGGAGAGAGTTGTACAAATGACAAGAGGAGTTGAGCCCACATACACTTTGAGCTGTTCTAATCCTATGGTGCTCAGTCAGGGGATGAAATCCTGGCCATTGAAGTCAATGGAATTTTGCAGTTAGCTACAATGAGGCCAGGATTTCACACAGAACCAGTACATTGTAACTCCCTGCTGCAACATTTCAGTTCGTTATTGTGTATGAGGCTGCTTGCTTCACAGCTGGGTGACAGTTTTTGACTGAAACTGTTTCTCTGCAAAAAATGATTTGGTGTCACTGAAATGTTTCACTAATTTGTGAGACAAGGTGGGTGAGGTAATATCACCAATTTTGAAAACAAAGCCAACAAACTCCAAACAAGTCCAAACATTTTGTTTTGACATTTTCAAAACAAAATATTTAAATTTTTAAATTCAAAATAACTTTTTTGTTACAAAATTTCCTTCAATTGTAGTTTTTAAAATGTTTTATAAATGCTCAAAATCAAAGTGAAATGTTTTGTCTGAGGCCAAATGATTTTTTTAACCCCTCAATTTGCCAAAAGTGTCAAAAAAAATTGTTTTCGTGTCAATTCAACATTTAAAAACATGGAACTGCCACCAAACCAAAAACTTAGTTATTTGCCCAGCTCTACCCACTACATGTATAATGAGAGAAATAAGACCTGATTCCTAGTCATGTTTGAAAATTTACCTGCACTTTACTTGTGCAACAGCTGCTCCCTAAGAGAGACACTCCAAAGATGGTAGTGTCAGAACTTACAAATGATATAATTTGTTAAACATTACGGTCTAGAGCTATGATGGACAGGAAATTAATTAGCCATAGAGCAACGCATGTGACTATGTATGCATACAAGCAGACTTCAGATTGGCTGGGTAAAGTACAAAATCTTCCTTTCTGTATTCTGAATGGTGCTGTATTAATCTTTGGCTAGTAAACTTTGATTAAATAAATTCTGATTGAGATGGTTGTCTGACATCTTGTATTATCATTATTTTTAAAGTTCAACTATGTAACAATGGTTTGGAGGGTAGGTATCGGAATGTGGTTCTTATCCTGGCTCTGCAATTGAATTCTGTTTAATTATGAGCAATTCATGGTACATAGTTGAGTCTTATTGACCCCATTGACCTAAGGGGCCCAAATTGTGTTATATTCACTGAAAAGCACTGATGCTAGAAGGCTGCAGACTCTAACACCTGCACCAGGACTCACCTCTTACTACCATCTCCAGCAGCCAATGCAGCCACTGGACAGTGCTGGGAGGATGTGGGTCATGGCTCATCGATGCACTCCTGGGATTGAAGTGTGCATGGGCAGATGTACCCTGTTCACTCAACCCCCATGCATCCATGGGATCAAGAGAACAGAGACCCTGGCAATGGGCAATTCCACAACCTATGAGATTGCACTGACTGGCCTCACTGTTAGTTTGCACTTTTCATGAATATTACAATGGCTATTTACTGGCAGCAGGGCTGCCTCTTTTAGTTTTAATACATTATCATTTAACTAAGATTTTGGTTTTATACTACACTGCTGTGCAAGTGCTTGGGAAACAAGAAAGAAACAGGAAGTTTTATCCAAGCTTTTAACAATCTTTTAAACTCTCTTAAAATCACATCAAAGCAATAGTAGATATGTATGTACACTACCAACACTGCACAGCATCACATTCCCCCGTGAAGCAGCTGATATGAGACTCCATTCATAAAGAGTTAATGGAGGGTAATGTAATTAATACAAATCAACATGGGTTTATGGAAAATAGATCCTGTCAAACTTATTTGATACCTATTTTTGATGAGTTACAAGTTAGTTGATAATGGTAATAGTATTGACACAATACATTTAGATTTCTGTAAGCTGTTTGACTTGGTAGCACATGATATGTTGATTAAAAAGCTAGAATGATAAAAAATTAACATGGCAAACACATTAAATTGATTGAAAACTAGTGAACTGATAGGTCTCAAAATGTAATGATAAATAGGGAATTGTCATCAAGTAGGTGTGTTTCCAGTTGGGACCGCCAGGGATTAGTTCTTGGCACTGCTCTATTTTACATTTTATCAATGACCTGGAAGAAAACATAAAATTATCACTGATCAAGTTTGCAGATGACACAACAATTGGGGGGATGGTAAATAACAAAGAGGACAGGTCACTGATTCAGAGTGATCTGGATCACTTGGTTAAACTGGACTGAAGCAAACAATATGTTTTATAATGCAGCTATGTGTAAATGTATACATTTAGAAACAAAGAATGGAGGCCAAATTCATGGTATGGGAGACTATCCTGGGAAGCAGTGACATTGAAAAAGATTTGGGGGTCGTGATGAATAATCAGCTAAACATGAGCTCTAAAAGTGACACTGTGGCCAAAAGAGATGATGCAACCCTGGGATGTATAAACAGGAAACTCAAGTCGGAGTAAAGAGGTTTTTTATCTCTGTGTTTGGCACTGGTGCAACTGCTGTGGGAATACTGTGTCCAGTTCTGGTGCCCCTCAGTTTAAAAAGGATGTTGATAAATTGGCCTCAGCCAGGTGTGGCCCTCCTCATGCCCCGCCCCCAGGTCCCTCCTTCTGCTTCCTCCTATTTGTGTGCTGGCAGCTCCAGTCCCCCTGTGTGGTGGCCCCCGGCTCGGGCTGGCACCACACCGCCTGCCCTCAGGGCTGCTGGAACAGTTTGTATAGTGGGGGTGCTGGGAACCATTGAACCAAACTGTGAATCCTGTATATGATGGAAACCATTTCAAGCTGCAGCATCCCTCTCACCCCTAGTTCCTGCACCTATGCCTGCCCTCCCTTGGTATCCTACTGTTAATTGAATTGTCTCATTAGACTGACTCACACTTGGTAAGGCAACTCCCATCTTTTCATTTATTTATACCTGCTCCTGTATTTTCCACTCTATGCATCTGATGAAGTGGGTTCTAGCCCACAAAAGCTTATGCCCAAATAAATTTGTAAGTCTCTAAGCCCTGGTCTACACTAGGACTTTAGGTCGAATTTAGCAGCATTAAATCGATGTAAACCTGCACCCGTCCACAAAATGAAGCCCTTTATTTCGACTTAAAGGGCTCTTAAAATCGATTTCCTTACTCCACCCCTGACAAGTGGATTAGCGCTTAAATCGGCCTTGCCGGCTTGAATTTGGGGTACTGTGGACACAATTCGACAGTATTGGCCTCCGGGAGCTATCCCAGAGTGCTCCATTGTGACCGCTCTGGACAGCACTCTCAACTCAGATGCACTGGCCAGGTAGACAGGAAAAGAACCGCGAACTTTTGAATCTCATTTCCTGTTTGGCCAGCGTGGCAAGCTGCAGGTGACCATGCAGAGCTCATCAGCAGAGGTGACCATGATGGAGTCCCAGAATCGCAAAAGAGCTCCAGCATGGACCGAACGGGAGGTACGGGATCTGATCGCTGTATGGGGAGAGGAATCTGTGCTATCAGAACTCCGTTCCAGTTTTCGAAATGCCAAAACCTTTGTCAAAATCTCCCAGGGCATGAAGGACAGAGGCCATAACAGGGACCCAAAGCAGTGCCGCGTGAAACTGAAGGAGCTGAGGCAAGCCTACCGGAAAACCAGAGAGGCGAACGGCCGCTCCGGGTCAGAGCCTCAAACATGCCGCTTCTATGATGAGCTGCATGCCATTTTAGGGGGTTCAGCCACCACTACCCCAGCCGTGTTGTTTGACTCCTTCAATGGAGATGGAGGCAATACGAAAGCAGATTTGGGGGACGAAGAAGATGATGATGATGATGAGGTTGTAGATAGCTCACAGCAAGCAAGCGGAGAAACCGGTTTTCCCGAGAGCCAGGAACTGCTTCTCACCCTGGACCTGGAGCCAGTACCCCCTGAACCCACCCAAGGCTGCCTCCTGGACCCAGCAGGCAGAGAAGGGACCTCCGGTGAGTGTACCTTTTAAAATACTATATATGGTTTAAAAGCAAGCATGTGAAAGGATTACTTTGCCCTGGCATTCGCGGCTCTCCTGGATGTACTCCCAAAGCCTTTGCAAAAGGTTTCTGGGGAGGGCAGCCTTATTGCGTCCTTCATGGTAGGACACTTTACCACTCCAGGCCAGTAACACGTACTCGGGAATCATTGTAGAACAAAGCATTGCAGTGTATGTTTGCTGGCGTTCAAACAACATCCATTCTTTATCTCTCTGTGTTATCCTCAGGAGAGTGAGATATAATTCATGGTCACCTGGTTGAAATAGAGTGCTTTTCTTCAGGGGACACTCAGAGGAGTCCATTCCTGCTGGGCTGTTTGCCTGTGGCTAAACAGAAATGTTCCCCGCTGTTAGCCACAGGGAGGGGGGAGGGTTGAGAGGGTAGCCACGCGGTGGGGGGAGGCAAAATGCGACCTTGTAATGAAAGCACATGTGCTATGTATGTAATGTTAACAGCAAGGTTTACCCTGAAAGAGTGTAGCCACTGTTTTTTTAAATACCACTGTCCCTTTTTTTTTCTCCACCAGCTGCATGTGTTTCAATGATCACAGGATCTTCTCCTTCCCAGAGGCTAGTGAAGCTTAGAAAGAAAAAAAACGCACTCGAGATGAAATGTTTTCCGAGCTCATGCTGTCCTCCCACACTGACAGAGCACAGATGAATGCATGGAGGCAAATAATGTCAGAGTGCAGGAAAGCACAAAATGACCGGGAGGAGAGGTGGCGGGCTGAAGAGAGTAAGTGGCGGGCTGAAGAGAGTAAGTGGCGGGCTGAAGAGAGGGCTGAAGCTCAAATGTGGTGGCAGCGTGATGAGAGGAGGCAGGATTCAATGCTGAGGCTGCTGGCGGACCAAACCACTATGCTCCAGTGTATGGTTGAGCTGCAGCAAAGGCAGCTGGAGCACAGACTGCCACTACAGCCCCTGTGTAACCAACTGCCCTCCTCCCCAAGTTCCATAGCCTCCACACCCAGACGCCCAAGAACGCGGTGGGGGGGCCTCCGGCCAACCAGCCACTCCACCACAGAGGATTGCCCAAAAAAAAGAAGGCTGGCATTCAATAAATTTTAAAGTTGTAAACTTTTAAAGTTCTGTGTGGCATTTTCCTTCCCTCCTCCACCACCCCTCCTGGGCTACCTTGGTAGTCATCCCCCTATTTGTGTGATGAATGAATAAAGAATGCATGAATGTGAAGCAACAATGACTTTATTGCCTCTGCAAGCGGTGATCGAAGGGAGGAGGGGAGGGTGGTTAGCTTACAGGGAAGTAGAGTGAACCAAGGGGCGGGGGGTTTCATCAAGGAGAAACAAACAGAACTTTCACACCGTAGCCTGGCCAGTCATGAAACTGGTTTTCAAAGCTTCTCTGATGCGTACCGCGCCCTCCTGTGCTCTTCTAACCGCCCTGGTGTCTGGCTGCACGTAACCAGCAGCCAGGCGATTTGCCTCAACCTCCCACCCCGCCATAAACGTCTCCCCCTTACTCTCACAGATATTGTAGAGTTCACAGCACGCAGTAATAGTGGGAATATTGGTTTCGCTGAGGTCTAAGCGAGTCAGTAAACTGCGCCAGCGCGCCTTTAAACGTCCAAATGCACATTCTACCACCATTCTGCACTTGCTCAGCCTGTAGTTGAACAGCTCCTGACTACTGTCCAGGCTGCCTGTGTATGGCTTCATGAGCCATGGCATTAAGGGGTAGGCTGGGTCCCCAAGGATAACTATGGGCATTTCAACATCCCCAACAGTTATTTTCTGGTCTGGGAATAAAGTCCCTTCTTGCAGCTTTTGAAACAGACCAGAGTTCCTGAAGATGCGAGCGTCATGCACCTTGCCCGGCCATCCCACGTTGATGTTGGTGAAACGTCCCTTGTGATCCACCAGAGCTTGCAGCACTATCAAAAAGTACCCCTTGCGGTTTATGTACTCGGCGGCTTGGTGCTCCGGTGCCAAGATAGGGATATGGGTTCCGTCTATGGCCCCACCACAGTTAGGGAATCCCATTGCAGC